ACTTTTTTTTTTTTTTTTTTTGAGACAGAGTCTCGCTTTCTTGCCTAGGCTAGAGTGAGTGCCGTGGTGTCAGCCTAGCTCACAGCAACCTCAAACTCCTGGGCTCAAGCGATCCTGCTGCCTCAGCCTCCCGCGTAGCTGGGACTACAAGCACGAGCCACCATGCCCGGCTGATTTTTATATTATATATATTAGTTGGCCAATTAATTTCTTTCTATTTTTATGGTAGAGACGGGGTCTCGCTCAGGCTGGTTTTGAACTCCTGACCTTGAGCAATCCGCCCGCCTCGGCCTCCCAGAGTGCTAGGATTACAGGCGTGAGCCACCGCGCCCGGCCTAACAACTCTTAACTATAATAAAACCAGTACTACTAGTCACCAATGTTATCTTAAACCCAAATGCAAATTAAAGCAATGTTTTTACAAGACAATAAAATAAAATAAAGCAATAAGTACTAGCTGCATTAGCTCTATGATAGTATTGTTTTAAGTGCTTTACATTTATTAACTCATTAATCTTCAAAATAAGCATTATACTCATTTTTACAGAAAAGAACACTGAGGCCCAGAGTTTAAATAATTTGTCCAAGGTAATATAGCTAGAAGCAGCAGACTGGTTTCATATTCTGTGTGCTCTTAACTGTCTTAATATAATATATTTAAATCAGCTTTTATCAACTTTTTAAATATTACTATGTAGACTTCTGGATTATAGCCAGAGAGTCTTGTTTAAAAGGCCATTATAAGCGATGAGAAAATCAAAGAGATTGGAAAGTAACAGTTGCAAAGCCAAATTTATGATAAAGGGATCCATAGAAACATTTATTCAGTTGTACCAACAATTTGTTACAAGACATAATGTTAGTAATGCTTTTCAATTTTTTTCAGATATATATACCCATAATGATAAGTCAGATATATACCACTATCTAGCTATATTACCTCATATAACAGAATATATGATAGTGAGTTATGCAAAGCATGATTCACATTCACTTAGCATTGAATGGCCTGAAGTCTTGTCAAATCATTCCTGTACTGTAATGAAGGCAGATTATAGCAAATAACTTAAATGTATTCATGTCTATTTTTTTTTTTTTTTTTGACAGAGTTTCACTCTGTTGCCCGGGCTAGAGTGCCAGGGCATCAGCCTAGCTCACAGCAACCTCAAACTCCTGGGCTCAAGTGATCCTCCTGCCTCAGCCTCCTGAGTAGCTGGGACTAAGGCATGTGCCACCATGCCTAGCTAATTTTTCTATATATTTTGAGTTGCCCAATTAATTTCTTTCTATTTTTAGTAGAGAAGGGGTCTTGCTCTTGCTCAGGTTGGTTTCGAACTCCTCACCTTTAGCGATCCACCTGCCTTGGCCTCCCAAAGTGCTAGGATTACAGGTGTGAGCCACCGTGCCCAGCCTATTCATGTCTATTGTGAAGTACCTGCAACTCTGATATTCAGAGTTGAATCTTACAGCAATATTGACTTATTTACTAAAATGTTCACTGAAATTATAATGATGAAAAAAGGAACTGCTTGTTTAAAACCACAGCAAAGAAAGATGAGAATTCTTGATGCAAAGATTTGTCTATCATTAGTTTAGGAAGGGCTGCTTTCCTCATCAATAAAATAGATCAAATAGCAATTCTATCTGAAAATTCTTCACTGAAATAGTGAGTCACTTATTGAGATCACAAGGTATAAGGTTAACAAATTTTACCCTACTTTTTAGTAATAGAAAATACTGGGAAAAAGTTAACCTTTTGTGATTTTCTGAGTTAAAAATTTTGATCTACTACTAAAATGCTTCTGATTTTGTAAAACAGGTCATTTAAGAAAATAAAAATAAATTCTGAATATACAGAATTACAGAGAATACAAAAAACTTCACATAACAAAGTATTTTCAGCATAAGAGATAATATCTATTAGTGATTTCAAATAAGGTCAAATTTGAATATAATGAAACTAATCAAAGGGATTGGGATACTTTAAAATTAAGGAATTTAAAACTATCTTGGCATGGGAGAAATCTCTAATGTTTGAGATGGGTCTGGGGGAATTAAGACTGTTAGAGGATGAGAGATAAAACTTCTATCCTGGGAGAGGCTGTAAAATACACTCAGCGATACAATCTGTCAATATATATGACATGTAAATCATGGAGTTGGATCAACATTCTTTCCAAGGGCAGTGCTTGAGGAAAGTTTTTGAGTAGGCATAAAGTATATTAATAATAGAAGTAGATAGGAAATTAGATTTATTTTGTGGTTCAATTTGGTGAAATCTATGAACTATGTGAAGTAATGAATAATTAAACATAATGACAGATGATACTTTGGAAGGAAAATATATACACAAAAAACTGAATGGTAAAAACTAGCAAACAAAGAATATTGTAAGTATTAACTGGTTAATGTAAACGTGAAAACATTTACATTTTGGTGCTTAATACTTTCTCTAAGTAAATTTGAAAGCAGGATTGTAAAAGATTACATATTGTCTTCATATATCTGAATGGGAAGATGATTTAAAGCAGAGAATTCTAAAGCTTAGAAAGATTCAGATCTTCTAATCTAGTTTCCGATGGTAGAGAGACAAAAAACCTTATCCTACTTAACACAGCTGCTTAGATACAAATGTCCAACCAACTGGCTCATTAAAAAAAAAAAAATGGCAGTGCCAGGTGAGGAGGGCAGTAGTTTCAATTAAAGCAGAGAAGGGAAGTATTAAGATTATAGAGGTAATAAAAAAAAATCAAAAGACCAATGGCAGTGACTATTGTGCCTTATTTTTGCATGGGGGCCATAGACCTTTTGTCAATTCATAGAAAAATGGCTCTAGATTTTTCTCAGAATAACTCAAACTTTAAAAAAGAGAAAAAAGCCTGTAGTCCCAGCTACTCAGGAGGCTGAGACAGGAGCACTGCTTGAGCCCAGGAGTTTGAAGTTATATTACACTATCTTCATACCTGTCAATAGCCACTGTACTCCAGCCTCAGCAGTATAGTGAGACCCCATCTCTACAAAAAAAGGAAAAACTTTTCTCCCTAAATCTTCAAATGTGCCCATCTTAGCTTATATTGCATTGCCAAATAAAATTAAAAACAAAATTTCAAAATAAAATTGATAGAGATGTGAAAGCTTGGTGTACAAACACTAAGACTGGGATCTTTTCCCATAATCTTAGCCAGCAAACATCAGTGCCACAAAGAAAACTGAATAAGAGTTTCATAGTAACCTCTAAACAGCTAATTTTAGTTATGTACTCATAGGTTTGTAATTTCTCAGGGCCACATATCAGTGTGCTGTTTTCAATTAAAAAAACCACAGGTGCAAAAGTAAACCATTTTAATGACCACATTCTTTAAACATTTGCCATGTTCATTCCAAGTGCATTCTATGGAGACAACGGAAGTCAGATTAAAGTATTCTCATTCCAAGCCTGCTACAGTTATGACTGATTTGTGACAAAATTTTATATAGGCATTTTAATATACTAATATTTCATGGTATTAATACAAAAATAAACCTGACGTCTCAGAGAAATATTTACCTAGATAAATTCAGAAACCACTGAATAATCACAATGGGAGAACAAAGGGGTGAAGAAAGACTAGATGTGAGATATAAGCAAAAACTAATATTTGCAAACAGAAAGCTACAAGGTAACCATAACATCTGTTAACTTGATTAATCTTGTTTTGACATTATGGTACCACTTAATGTCTCAATGAAATAATAATTAGAACAATACGATAACATAGTATCCCATGTTGAATGAATGCAGGTAATTGGAACAAGAATTTCTTTTAACTTTTGCTTTTTCTAGGACTTCACTTTGAAATAAATGAATTGATATATGGACTCATAAGAACACGATTTTTTTTGGCCTGAAGTAGCTACACGTGGAGAGGAAGACTTTTCAGCAGTCCACTCCCCCAAAATTGAACTTTCTTTCCCGTGAGTTTATAAATATGTTCTTTAGGAAAACTCAGCATAAAAATCTCACGTTCTGGGGTCTTAAATAGTCGTAATACAATAAAACTGTAAAGGATATTCTCCATAAAGAGTCCTTAACATCTTACAGGCCAAATATCCCTCTTGGAAACCCTTTGGAGGAAAAAAGTTCCCCTGGTTTGTGTATGCCTATGTATATACAAGAGAGGAAGAACAAATATGAGAGAGGGAACTCACGTTTGCAGTACGGTTGTGTGGGCAGGGTGGTGTGTAATACTGAAGGAAAAAAGCTGCTGGTAGAGGAAGAGCTGCAGTTGATTCTCCAAAAGGAAGATGAATAGATGCACCTGATATGATTCTAAGAAAACTGTTTCCAAAGGATGGGAGTGTGTTGGGAAATAAGTTCTACTGTGATCGTTGGAATCCTAATGCTTAGCATGAGGGGCACATCCACATAATGCGTGAATGAATGAATGAAAGAACACAGAGTAAAAGGAGCTTTGGCTTGGGGAAGGCAAGCGCCTGCAGAGGAGGTTCGGGGGAGCAGGGGGAGCAAAGAAAACCGAGGGATAAGGCCAAACCCTTAGTGCCAGGAGAAAGGGAGATGGCTGCGGGTTTTGTGAGGGCACTGACCAGAGAGAACTCGGTGCCGGGCCAGTTGACTCGGAAAGGGATGTCATCGCTGAGTGGAGGGAGTGCTCGGCCGCCGCCGGACGCCTCCAGGAGGCCGCAAAGGACCAGTAACACCGGCGCACCGGGGACTAGATTTCGCACGCCGCCGCCTCCTTCCTCCATCCTCCGCTGCCGCTTTCTCCAGCCGCCACCACAACCTCCTCTGCCCAAAGAGGAGAGGAGCAGTAGGAGGAGTAGGAGGAGAAGGAGGCGGCGGGACTATAACGCTCCCAGGCAGCCGGGGTCCCAACCGCCGCCACGTCTCCTTCCGGAGAGCCCGGCAACGCCGCCTCCGCCCCCTTGGGCCTCCCGCCACCGTTTCCGGGGCATGCCACATATCAACATCCGGGGGCGCAGAGCAGTCCGCCTACGGAAGCCGGGACGCTGGTCGTACTACTCTTGTTTCCGACCACCGCAGCATCGTGGTGGAGAGCGAATGCTGCGGCCTTCCGGGACAGGGCTCCCGGAGACCTGGTCTCATACCAGCCAATTCGGCGGATGAGTGGCGGCACGACGAGCCGGTGAGTGCCGGCTGCGGCGGCCGCTCCCTCCAGCCACCTGCGTGGCTCTCCAATGGGAGGGTGGCGGCTTTGCCCGTTCTGCTGTGAGACCGGGAGGAAGAAAGGTGAGCCCCTGGGGATGCGAGACCTTAAATGGGAAAATTCGAGGTAGCGATGAGAAGTGAGAAGTGGAGGTGTTTTTGACTTATCCTCTCGCAGCTTTGCTTTTTCCATTTCTCCGTATCCGGCTTTTGTACACTTCATCTTTCCCGCCTTGAAGCTTCTCTTTACCTCCTCTGTTGTGGGCTGTGGTCATCTTGGTACTTAGCAGTTTCTGACTAATGCCGTGCAGTTTGTTTAGTCGCTCAACCTTGTGTTAAGGGAACTTGGAGGTGAGAAGATCCGCCATCCCCCAATATGAGAATACCGTGATCGTCCGAGGTTGGCATGGTTGGAAAGTCTCATGGGGAGGGGCGCTACACATCACTGCCCCTACAAATTTCCCCCATGGGCTCCTCCATCCTTGGATTGAAGTGTTGAGCTGTTGTTTTATGAAGGAAGCTGATAAGTTTCTTTATGTGAGGTTGTTCATAAATCACGTCTGATTGCTTCTAAAATTAGACAAAAAGTTTTGGTTTCCCTTTCCCCTCCTTTTAAAAAATGTCATATCTGTTTTAAATAACAAAATAATGAGTTATAAAGTGTTAGCCATAGAGCATTATCATTCTCTTCCTGGAAGATGGGAAGAGCTAGATTGTCTTGCTCCATCTGTTAAAGACTGCTTGCCCCCCCTCTGCAAATTTGAACCAAATCAAAATGCAGGAAGAGCAGTCCATTTTTCATCTCTAAAATTTTTCTTTTACCACAAAGACTCCTCAGTGCCAAAGAAAATCACTTTGTTCCCGAAGTGAGGTGTTGTATATTAATTTATTTAGCACTTTTTATTAATGCTTAATGTGTGCCAGGCCACTGAGATTGACAATTCAAATAATAAAGTTTCTGTCCTCTGTCATAGTCTAGCAAGGGAGATTATTACAAACAAATGTTTGCAAACTATTATGGTAATAGTAACAGTAGTTAACGTCTAGCATTTACTTTGTGCTAAACACTAGTTAATTCTTACCTATGTATTGTGTCATAACCCTTATGAGACAGATACTATAGATCACCAGTCCCTAGCCTTTTTGGCACCAGGGACCGGTTTCATGGAAGACAATTTTTCTGGTCGGGGAGTGGCAGGGACTGCGGAGCTCCGCTGCCAGTCCCTAACAGGCTAGGGACCCGTACTTGGGGGTCCGCAGCTATAGATTTATACAGTAGAGGGATGTTAGCATGGAGCTATAAAGAAGAAAGTAACCCCAGGAACTTTGGGGTTGGTCAGAAAAGACTTCCCAGGAGAGATGACACTAGAACTAGGATTTTAAGGATTTGTAGGTGTTCATTAGGCGGATGGGGAAGTTCGTTTCAAGCATAATCCTCCTAGATAGTCCATTAGGGCTTTTTGGTGTGGTCAGATGATAAGGTGGGATTGAATCATCAGCATAGTATTGGTGCTGTAGAGGAAGAGGTGGTCAGTTCAGGTAAGGTTACCTATGCCTTGCAGAAGTGTTTGACCTTTATCTAGTAGGTCAGAATTCTTGAGGTGGTAGACTTTTTGCATTGGGAATTACCTGAGGATTTACCTGGAATTACCTGCAAGTATGCAAAGATTAATTCCAAATGGATTAAATTCTAAATGAACAAAACATAAAAAAAATAGAAGAAAATTTAGGGGAGTAATTGAATGATCTTGGTGTTTAAGATAGGAATTCCTGAAGTCATGAAGGAAAAGAGATGTGTTTGACTAAATAAAAATGAAAGATTTTTGTGCTGTCCTCCTTTAGCCTCTGGGGCAATAGTGATTGAATCTGTTCTCAATGGAGCTTATGTTCAAGCTAGGAGGAGACTTAATGTATAAATACCAAATAAATAAAATAATTTCTAGTACTGGTAAATGCTGTAGAGAAACTAGGGTTATGTGAAAAAGAACCTCTGTGAGATGTGTTGCTTTGATAGGTGGTCAGAGTAGACTTCTGGGAATAAGGGGTGCAAGAGTGAGACTCCCACCTCTACTAAAAGTAAAATTAGCCGGGTGTTGTGGCATGCGCCAGTAGTCCCAGTTATTTAGGAGGCTTAGGCAGGAGGATCACTTGAGCCCAGGAGTTTGAGGTTGCTGTGAGCTAGGCTGACGCCAGGGCACTCTACCCCAGGTAACAGAGTGGACTCCATCTCAAAAAAAAAAAAAAAAAAAAAAAAAAAAGAAACAAAAAATTTGTTAAATCAAAAAAGATAAGTATTTGAGATGATAGGTATATTAACTTGATTTAATTCCACATTGTATTAACACATAACAACATCACTTTGTACCCCAGAAGTATATACAATAAAATTTGCCAACTTATAATTAAACAAATAGAAATAAAAAACAAAAATTAAGTTTTGTTTTACTGTTTATATTGGGCTTCAGTTTGCTTACATAGGAACTCAAGGTGCTGGAGCCATCTCAGCCTAATGGCCTTTCAATTAAATTTTTTTCCAACTCTTTTAATGTTATATAGAGTTTTGTAAAATAAACTTAATTTAATATAAGAATGTGCAACTACATTTTATGTATATGATGAAAATACCATCCATTCTTTAAAGGCTTATAAATTGATATAAGTATCTTTTAAAAACCTGTTTATTTTTTTCCTGGTCTAACTATTGTTCAGCATTTAAGGTGTATCATGTGCAGGAAGGTAATGTGGGAAAACTATTTTTAGTTTGGAAGGGATATGAATTCTGTTTTTAGTATACTAAGTTTTCATGCTTGTGTAGCTCAATGAAATGCCATCATGTAATAGGCATATATAATTGTAAAGAGGTTGAGAAAGTAGGCTAGGGATTGGAAGCTATCCAAGTAAAAATAGTTAATTGAAGCCTAGGATTTGATGAGTTTGTGTATCTGATAATGAATAGTCTTGAGAGCTGTAAATGGAAATACAATGAAACGTTCAGCTTTTTCGACCTTAGTGACATGGGCTGCTTGATCACTAGTATCTGATGCATCAGAGTAGGGTGGAATCTGAAATCTTTGGATTGAATCACGAACTGGTCATTGGAGACTTGAGACTACAATGATTGGGTAGAGTACGGCAGAGTAAAGTTGGATTAGAGAGACATTAAAATGAATTAAGGAAGTGGAACACTGTAGTTAAAAAAATTTCTGTGGGGGGAGGGGAAAAATTTCTGTGAAGGGTAAGAAAACTGGAAAAGAAAAAAATGCCAATTTTTGGCTCAAATTTGAAAGGGTCTCATTTAATACGTGAACAACAAGGAAATAAACAATATCAAGGCTGAAATCTTGTCTATATTACCATGTTTCTAAACACACATTATTTTAAACGTGCATATTTTAAACCATAGTTACATTTACAGATTTGTAAAGGAATATATTGAAGGCATATCCTTAAATTTATTGGACTTTTGGTTTAATTCTCTATAATTTCAAAATAGTATTGTCATATGAAACAATACTATTTTTTTTACTCTGATAAAAACAAGAACTGAATTAAGTACTTCACTGTATTTTTCTGAAGAACTCACTTCCAATGAACAAGTGTTCAATTTCATAGTTAGGAAATTATTATGTTATTAAAACTTGAATTTTTCTCTCACTGTATCTCAGTCTTTTGATTATATGTGTTTCGGTACACTTGAAATTAAACTATAAATTTAGATAATATCATGACTACATTAAAAATAAGTAACACCTTTTAAGTAAACACATTTCAAACCATATTGCCATTGTGCATTGAAATTAATTCTCTGAAGACTAAAAACTCTGTTTGGAAAAGTCAATAAGTAGGTCTTTATATGCAGTTGAGGTTTTATTTTCCTTCTAAACGTTCCTTTACTAATTTTTCCAAACAGAAAAGATGCTCATCTGCATCTTCTGGCACAAGGTTCCTAACAGAATTTGCAAGTTCAAAAAGATATTCTGTATTTTTTCCACTTGGACCAGCTGCATTAAAAATTTGTTCAGCAATGTCTTCCAGAGGTGCAGGACCAAGATAATTAGGATTATCACATGTTCCAATATATAGCAACACACTGAATGGTTTTGTTGTGGGATCTTTTGGATAAAAAATGACCGTTGTGGTCCTGTAGCCTCCTTTCTCTCTGAAGTCAAGGAATGCTTTTACTTCTTCTTCCTTTCCTACTGGCAATCTGTAAGCTACACCCCATACACAACCCTGTTGAAAATGAAAAGAATACACTATTTAATATTTAGAAAGTTAATTAAAATAGGTGAATATATGTGGTGATATAAGAAAATATCTCATATATTCTTAGAAGTCAATGCAGTTTTGCTTCACTTAAAGTGCACAGAAGAGGAACATACTAAACAATAAAGGAAATTAGTATTTTGAAATCGCCATTCTAAATAATTTCTTTGTATCATAAACAGCACAATATTTACCTTTAAAAAAGTTATGTCATTTTTTTTAACTAATGGGACTGAAATGAAAAATACCAGGTTTTCATTTGGTCATTAAAAAGTTCTACATAAATAAAGTGTCATTTGTTTATTAACTGTTTAATTAGGAATTATAGTTACCAGTTGAAGCTCTTTTTATAGATGCTTTTCATAGTGTAAATTATGAAAGCATTTCCTAATCTATACCATTGTTTATTACTAGCTGCTTGATTTCTATATATCAAAGTCCTTTCCAAAGTTAAATCCTTAATTTCACATTATAAAATTTTGAATCTGTATCTCGATAAAATCATTGAAAATATTTAAGAAACTGAGGACAGTCACTGAAATAAAAGTTTTCTGGTGCTCCAAACCTATTTAAAACACACACACACACACACACACACACACACACACACACACACACACACAGGTGCTATTGATAAAATTAAGCATAGAAAGCATGAGAATTCTGCTGATTTAGATTTCTGCAGAAA